TACCGAGTTCTTTTGTGCACAGCGAAAAAAAAAAACAGGATCCTCAGCAGTGCATTGAAAGTGCTCTTAACGTTCTTCAATCATATCCTTAGAATAATTTTTTAATGGTTGGAGTAAGATGAAACAAGTCTACAACATCCTTAGTCAAGCGGATATTACTAGTGTATGGTTGAGAGCGAGTGATTTTGCAACTGTTTTGCTCAATGGATGCATTCATTGTAACGGTGAAGAGAAATCAAGTTGGGAGAGCCTCATCATGAGCCATTGCGGGAAGTAATTTCATCAAAATGTTCATGAACTGGTGGCACAATAAATATCACTGCATTTTTTGCAATTGAACAAACGAATCAAATACAAAATTAGAAAAAAAACGGAAACGTTTAACGGGATAGTCCGGGAATTAGTAAGCGTAGAAGAAGAGAGTCGAATGGGTGCTTTCTTATATGTATTGCTGTGTTTCCGCACCATATCATATCTGTTTGATTGTTTTCGATTGATCGATGAACAGAACAAGACGTGATGATGGTTGGGTTGCGTCATCAAAATTTATTGTCTTTGGCTGATGCATTCTCTGATTTTGATCCGAAGAATAATTTTGGTGAGTTATGTTTCTGACGATTCACAGGAGTGATTCATTGACAAGTAATAGCAATTTACCACTAATCCAACGATTACTCAGCGATAAATTGTACTAAATTCGGAAGTATTCGTCTTTGAGAAATAAATCACAATAGGATGCATTTTCATTCATAAAGCCGAGTACACAGATACAATATAATGTGGGNATTCGTCTTTGAGAAATAAATCACAATAGGATGCATTTTCATTCATAAAGCCGAGTACACAGATACAATATAATGTGGGAAAGAATAAAGTGGTCATAAAGATTCACAAACCTCCGTTCAGTGACCGTCGTTGTCGTTTAGTATGCGATTCTTGCCGTTGCAGTTCACGATTTCCGCAAAACAACGCTAAAAGCTGATTGATTTTGGTTCAGTGCGATACTTCTTTACAACAGTATGCAATGACAGCTCTGGTTAACTCGGACTTTGGAATTTCATCAGAGAAACTACACTTCGGTATGAGTAACATCGAAATAGCTAAGTTTACTATCGGAAATACTAACTAAGTATCGTAAGTATTTTTGAGAACTAAAGAATTGACGATCACTATTATTGATATGTTTTACCGCCTCGGTTCAATAACCATTGACAGTCGACAAAATTTCCAAGATGGAAGTTTTTAAAATGGAACATGTATCGTCATATATTTTCTCTATTGCATTTGTTCAAAAACACAACGAATTTCAACTACAGAGCCAGCCTCTTTCGATGAATTTTACGTTTTCTAATCGAAAATATAACCGTTCGAAACAAAATTGTTGCGATTGCTCGCAAGGTGTATAGAATTAGAGCACTCACTACAGATGTTAATTAATATTTTTGTACCCTCGAAGTTTGCACTTCCAAACTATGAACTATAGCTTAATGCCCTAAGGCGTGCTGTATTTCGCAACATACTTTATTATTCTCAGCTTTAATATCGTGTCCAAATTTCATCACAAAATTGCGAATGCATTTCAAGACAGTTCATCGCATATGCCCTGAGTTGGGGGGCAACAAGTGCTAAAATTGCTCTGGAGATTCGAATTCTGCTACAAATTTCGGAATATCCGTCGAAATCTGCTACAAGCTTCAGGTGACTTTTTGAAATGCGGAAAAATACAATCATTTTCTTGTAGTTATTCAATAATTTGGTGATTACGGATGGAAATTATTCGCGACGAAACGAGCACACCGAAAAACCTAAGGCTGTAATCACGAGCATAAACACTGGACATTGCAAAAAAACGTTCTCGCTGAAGATTCCAAATTATTGTAAGCAACTGTGATAAATCATCATGATAAATTACATTGATAAATTGAAAATGCAAAGTCATTACTTTGGTGCGATTCCGGTAGTGGTGCCGCAATGGTACACGGATCAAATTCGAGAAATACAACAACGGCTGAAAGTAACAGATTCTGAAACCTCGAACTCAGAATCATAACGACCTTTTTCCTTCGTCTTGAAGAGAATAGCAGTGCGGTGATGAATCTTTATAAATGGAGCAAGGTTGTTCGATCACGAAGTAGTCAAGCGCAGAGACAGGTTTGTGAGACAAACGGTCGTCATAAGAATGTAGGAATGAAATGAACAAATGATGAGAACCAATGCAATTCGGCAAGACTATCACTTGTTTTGTTCCTTAAAAAAGCAGATGAATAGGTGAGTGAGTGAGTGGGTTGGTAAGGAGCGGAGTGGGATGGATGCTTGGAACATGCCCCGCGGCCAAATCACGTGCCTCGAATTTTAAACCTGAAATTTTGAAGTTTTTTTGCCACACACCAATCACTTTCACACCCAAAAATGAGAAAGGATGCACTTCCGGTAGTTAGTACAAAATTGAGAGTATTTCAAATGAATGATGAATGCTGTGATTGATGCTTTCTTCCGTTTCAGGTAAATTTTGCTTATTGCGAGCAATCATCCAGAAAAGGAAGTGATATTGGTCACGCACTTAAACTCACGAATGTGAGCCATAAAATCTTTATCAATACTCCAAATAGACTTAGGTCCTAGAAGTCGCATTAACAGAGTTTTGTTCGCACACAATTGATTCGAAATCGAACGGTTCGTTAATCATTTGAAACGTCACAGTTCAGTGTCGTTAATTTCTGGTTTAATCACATTCTCGGTGAAGATTTTTTACAGCAGCTCAATGCAACATCTCATTTATGAGCAATTTGTTTCTTCCCTCACGTCGACTCATAATTGAGATGAATTCTCGACTCTTTTAAAGGTTCTGTTTAGCATGATCATTGCTGCTCAGCACTCGCTCAATAACGGCAATTACCGGATGAATATTTTCGTTTTTGTATCGCTTCACTAATCACGATGTGATACTTCTCAGCTACTGGATTTCTTGCTGAAATATACGCAACGAGAACTTCCAGCAAACAGATAATGCAAGATACTGATAAGATGCAATTGGCCAAATAATGCACTTTTCATTCAGATTGTGATGAATTCCACAACATTGATTTCGTGACCACAACTTTGAGATGAAATCAAACAGCAAAAAAACAAGAAAATCTATTCAACAGTGAAATATTAAGCGCATTCATTCAGTGCATAATTCAGAGGTGACAGAAGGGAACTCGTTTGAAAGGGTCATCATTAGTTGTTGACATGAACTGGTTCCATCAAAACGATAGCGAGTGCTAGATTGAGAGAGCCCAATGTACAACTAAATTATGCCATTAGCATAACTGTGACACTCATAAGGGATCGCAAAAGTACGCCTCAGAACAATTAATCATTTACTGAATGACTTCGAAATGACTCTCTTGTTAAGTATGATAAGACGGAATGAGATTTGTTTTTGGATGCTTCACAGACTGTGGCACACTTCAAAGCTGTTGATGTTTCGCATTGGGACGGAAATTTTCGTTAGTCAATTTTTTGTCATCGAACTGTGAGTAACATTGACATTCTGACACGTTATCATTATCAACGTTTCGCTGAAAAGAATAATTTTTTGAATCTGAAATGAAAATTGATACTCCCGAAATGGTTTTGAGTTCGATGAGTGTAACATCATTTCATCATAGATTTTCGTCCGACGCTGCTGACTTGAAGTGGATTTGAAGATATCTTTTGAGAGTGATACTCATATCTAGAAGGTATATTTTGTTCGAAAAATGTGACAAAAACGATTATTTCTTATCTCTCATTGTAAAGCAATGAATTTCCATGTTATAAGTTGCCCATAACATCCTTACACACTGCTTCGTTAATCCCTAACATTCTCATGCTTCCTTATAAATTAAGTGAACCAGAAGTGAATATTCATCGCCATGGCACTGTGATTTGTTTCGATATCTTGAAGAAATTGAAAACTGATCTATTCATATGCCGTGAAGTGCACTGAGGATGAACTGCTCATGTGGCCTGAAACTTATTGAGTGAAGATTTGGTGTCGGTTAACAACATAGTGATTGTTGAATGATGCCGAACAAACCTGTGATGGAACTGCAATCGAGAGGAGTGTGGAGGAAACTATTCTCGATCACCGCAGGTTATGGGCTATTGAACGATTAACGGAAAGCCGCAATTGTACAGTGGTTTACATACAACGATTAATTCGAAGTTGCAACCCTTCACCACAACCTCCCTCGTTGTTTTTTGAATGCTTGTCGCGATGAAGGAGGATCAGACACTGATGAAATATCGATTGCTTGATTGGGGAACCGACACTGGGAGTGACTGACACTTCAGTTTCGGTTTAAATGTAGTCGACTGTAAGCAGAACGAGCGGTTACAGCATGAGTTGCTTCAAGTGAATGGTAAAAATGAAATACAACCTCATATCGAAACCATACTTTGATTTGTTAAGCTCAACTCACTGATTATGTGGAGTACATACTTCATGTTGACGTATGTTGCAACCTCAGATTTTGGCAGCATGCTGGGAACTACTCATAAACGTTCTCCTAAGCATCATTTTTTAGAAGTCCTCTGAACTATATTGAATATAACTAGGGTTTGCACGGGATCCTGGGATCCCGAGATCATAGTTCTGATCCCGATTACGGGATTGAAGTTTTGAAAAATCCCGGGATTTCGGGATTT